ATGTCAGATTTGCATAGATTCATTTGTATCTTTAAGATCACTAGATAAATGAAAGCCAAGATAAATAACCCTTCAGAAACAGTAACAAGGATAATGGTTCCCTAAGGTTACAGGAAGAGAGGGTGGTAGAAAGGGGAAAAGAGGGACCTGATAGCATTGATGACTGTATAACCCCACTCAATGGCCTCAAATAACATAATTGTATGTGAATGGATACATTGGATGTGAAGGCTATAGCAATAAATGATAGGTAGGTAGGTAGATAGACAGTAGATAGATGTTCCTGGAGGGTATTGTGGGGGAGGGAGGAGAGAAAGAGGTGCAGATATCAAGGAGTTCAAGTTGAAAGAAAATGTTTTGAAATTGATTGTGGTAGCAATTGTCTAACACTGCTTGATGTAGCTGAACTGTGGAATGTCATTTCTGTAAGAGCCCCCAATAATAGAATTTAAAAGAAAAGAAAAGGCCTGCTGTTGTTTTATTTCCATTTGGTCTATATTTTAATTCCAAAGCCCTAAGAGAGGAATTAAGGAGCCCTAGTGGCAAAATGGTTAGGAATTGGGTTGCTAACCACAAGGTCAGCAGTTCGAAACCACCAGCTGCTCCAAGGTAGAAAGATGAGACTTTCTACTGCTGTAAAGAATTACAGTTTTAGAAATTCACAGGGGGCAGGTTCTATCTATCCTGTCTTAGAAGGTCACTATAAATCCACACCAACTCGTTGGTTTTTGGAAGACAGGAATCGATAGACATGGCTGACTCAAGTGGTTAAATGCTTGACTATGAGCAGAAAGGTTGGCAGTATGAACCTACACAAGGAACTTCAGAAGAAAGGTCTGATGACCTGATTCTAAAAGGTCAAATCCTGAAAACTCGATGGAGCGGTTTTACTCTATATATGTGGGGTCATTCTAAGTCAAACCAACATGACAGCAGCTAACCACGAGAGAGAGCAAGTGTCCATCCTTGTCCAAGTAGGGGCCAACAAGTGGGGGGTCACTGAAAATTGAAAAAACATACTCCTCATGCTATCTTCAAAAAGTACTGTCCACAATTTGTAAAAGAGAAAACAGGGGCTGAGAAATACAAAGTACTGTCCTAGGTTCATGTGGGCAATGATCAGCGCCTGAAAGTGAGCTGTCTCCTTAAATATCATGTTCTAGGTGCCTCATTCTCTCCCTAGTCCCAGCTCTGCCAATTCCTAATAGGTCTTTAAATTATACCTGCTTTCTTTTACTGAAATTTGGCACTTTCACAGAAATGTGTTGTTTCAAGAAATAGTTTCATGGATTTGTGTTATCAAAAAGGTTTTGAGGGAGGGGAAAAATGAGGACCTAATGTCGGGGGTTTAAGTGGAGAGAAAATGTTTTGAGAATGATGTACAAATGCGCTTTACACAATTGATGTGTGTATGGATTGCGATAACAGTTGTATGAGCCTCTAATAAAATGTTAAAAAAAAAAAGGTTTTGAAATGAGAACAAGCATGTGGTTACATTCTGCTCTTACAGACCTTGTATATTGTTAAACAATTTGCCATTCAAAAGACCACTCATGGCAAAGATTCAACTTACCTTCCCACTCTGTTGGGATATTGCCTATTTCATAGTCTACTTCTTTTTTGAGAGCTGTTTCTACAATTCTTTTCTCCCGAATAGTTTGTCCTAAAAGACAAAAGTGATTCATACATTTTAGAATGAAAATACAGTGTAGTAGCTAATGCAAGTAACACCTAAAACTTGATGTATCACATCCTCATATATGGTAAAATAACAGAAAAAAGAAAGGCTTCTTTTAGTATTCGGTATGTTGGTAAAGGTCATTTCTAAACTTATACTATCAATCAAGATACAATGATAATTGCTAGGGATTGCAACCTGAAAGTTGAAAACGAAAAAGGATCAGTAGTTGGTCTTGGGACAAGAACAACACAGACTCCATAATAGAATTTTGCAAGATCAATGACTCATTCATAGTAAATATCTTTTTCTAACAATGTATCTTGTTGTTAGGTGCGCTTGAGTGTGTTCCAACTCACAGAGACTGTGTCCAATAGAAGAAAACACTGCCCAGCCTCACAATTATGTTTGAGTGAATTGTTGCAGCTCCCCTGTCAATCCAACTTGTCAAGTGTCTTCTTTTTTTTTTCATTGACCTTCTCCTTTACCAAGCATGATGTCCTTCTCCAGGGACTAGTATTCTCCGATAACATGCCAAAAGCAGATGAGACCAAATCTCAGCATCCTCCTTTCTAAGGAGTATTTTGGTTTCACCACTTGTAAGACAGCTTTGTTTGGTCTTCTAGCAGACCATGGTAATTTCAATATTCTTTGCCAGCAGCAGTATTAAAATGCACTGATTCTTCTTCAGTCTTCTTTATTCAAAGTCCAACTTTCATATGCACAAGAGGAACTAAAAATACCATGGCACATGAATTGAAATTTAATTGTTTAAAACTCTGTGTTACCAAAGGAAAATATGTAGGCAGCAGGAGTTAGTTCCAAAGTCATTGAATTGTCATTCTGTCTAATAAAATATCTATGTCAAAAATTAAAAAAAAACAAAAAAACCATGACTCAGGCATGCCTTAGTCCTCAAAGTGACATCCTTGCTCTTCAACACTTTAAAGAAGTCTTGGGGAGCAGATTTACCCAGTGTGATGCATCATTTAATTTATTGATTGCTGCTTCTGTGAGAATTGATTGTGGATGTAAGCAAGATGAAATCCTTCAAACTTCAAATTTTTCTGTTTATCATGTTACCATTTATCATGATGTGTGAATTTTTGCTTTCTTTAAAATAAACTGTAATACATATTGAAGGATGCAATCCTTGATATTCATCAGTGTGTTATTCCGGGTTGACTAGAGAAACAAATCCAGAGACACTCATATGTGTGTAAGAGAGAACTTTATATCAAAGAGCAATTGTACATTAAGAAAACATCCCAACCCAGTCCAGATCAAGTCCATAAGTCCAATATTACGCCATAGTTAATATTAGTCCATAAATTCCTCTTTAGACTCACATAGCTATGCAATTATGCTGAATGCAAGATCACAGGCCAGTGGGTGGAAAGTCTTGTGGATCTAGTAGTGGTGGAAGCATTTCAGTGCTGAAGTGGGTCTCCATGTGGGTCCTACAGTTCTAGGGCTCTGGGTACTTCAGTGTAGGTCCATGTGACTTTTCAGCAGGAAGACAAGGCAGAGACTGCCTTCTGCCTCCAGGGAGGAATACAGGAGTTCCCAGAATCCTCAAGAGAAGGTCATGCCCACAGAGAGTCCTCATTGGCTATGGCTTGTTTGACAGGCTAGACCCCACCCCTTAACAAATTGACAGGAGACTGTGTAACTGCCACAACCAGCAAGTACTTCAAGTCCTTGCTTTCAGCAATCACAATTGTATCATCTGCCTATGATAGGTTGTTAATAAGTCTTGCTCTGTCTCATTCTTCATATGGTCCAGCTTCCTGGATTATTTACTCAGCACACAAAGCCTGGTCCAGTGCTGCCTTCACAACTGTTCCTATGTTTGAGCCCAATTTGCATCAACTGTGTCAATTCATCTCGTTGAAGACTTTTCTCTTGCTTGGATCCACAATCAATGTTCATGGAAGCAGCAGTCCACAGATAAAAAGAATTATTGCATTGGGTAAATCTGCTGCACGAGAACTCTTTATTATTTATTTATTTCTAAAATCATTTTATTGGGGGCTCGTACAAAAATCCACACATTAATTGTGTCATGCACATTTGTACATACGTTACCATCACCCTTTTCAAAACATTTTCTTTCTACTTGAGCCCTTGCTATCAGCTCAATTATTTCCTCCCTC